TGACACATACAATGTATTTTTGGCTATTGCTACAAATATACCCCAGCGACTTAAGACTGGTTTTGTGGTCCTGGGTCACATATGTATATTAAACTGCTATTTAGATCTGAAACCCAAATTTTCTGCAGCCACTACTCCAGTCATCAGTGTCACATGATCCTTCACAAATCATTCTAATATGCTGATTTGGTGCTCAAGATACATTATCAATGCTAAAAACAGTCATCAGTCATGCTACTTAATATTTTTGTGAAGACCGTGATATTTTTTTAGGATTCTTTAACGAATTGAAAGTTCAAAAGAACAGCATTCATTTAAAATGTACTTTTGTAACATTATAAATGTGTTTCTTTTACTTTTTATTGCATCCTGATTGAATAACATTATTGACCTCTTTCGAACAGTACATATTATTCTTTTATAACATATTTTTTTGAATGCTGCACATTAATGTGGCCTTAAAGACTCCATATAATTTTCCTGAACTCCTAAAAATGTATTCTGCCAAGTAAGCAAATGTTTCCTCACCTTTATTTCATCACCAATATCAGACATCCACCATATCCCGCCCTAAACCTGGTATTGCGGACTCTCTTGTCATCATATAGCAGATGAATCAGCTAGTTCCCAAATATAACTGACTAAACATCATTTTATTTTAATATAATTATTACACAGATTCATCTCTCTCAAACGTGCCTGTAAGTGTATGCTGTGTATTCAGCAGTGTGAAAATTAGACAGTAAGCATGCTCTTGTTAGCGATGTGGCTAACACTTTTATGACACAGGGGGTCCTTTCATGTGACGTGCCCAGGAAAGTGTTTGAGTGGCTGGGGGGAAGAAAGCCAGGCTCCTCACACTGATGCCCTCTGTCTAAGCTTCTGGGCAGCCAGTCAACGCCAGGGAGGCCTGCTGGAGGTGCCTTGCTCTGTGTAAGTGTTTTCAGGAGGTGGGCTACGGAGCCAAAGTGGCCGCCCAGGGCGACTGAGGCCTTGTGCCCATAAGCATGGCGCCAGAAGCAGGGTGGGCCGTAGGGAAGCTGCCAGTCTGGAAGAGGTGATATCAGCAAGGCAATGATGGAAGACGACAGTTGAGCCAAAGATTTTTGAGCATTCAAACATTTAATTCTTATGCACTGTGTAGGTTTAGGTTTTTACAGTATATCCATTTAGTATTTAAGGTTATATCATATACTTTCACCTTTTTTATTTCGCTTATCCTGCCTTGTTTTTATCAATAAATCAGGCAAAATGTATAAATACATGTTAACATGTTGACATAGTAAATAAAAAGTATATGCAATTATATCAAAAATAATTTCATATAGACTACAGTTCAAAAGTAAATTTTTGATCAGAAACTGATACATTTATTATTAATTTATCACAGTTTTCACAAAAAAAAAAATTAAAGGGCTCCAATTATGCTTTTTTACAAAGTCTTGATTTTGTTTTGGGGGTGTACTAGAACAGGCTCTTATACTAGGTTGTTCGAAAAACACATTATTTTTCACATATTTTACATTATTACAACACCTCTCTCCTCAGCCTGGCATGAACGGCTCGAATAGTTCCTGTATCATAAAATAATTTTTGAAGAATCAAGCGCACTGAAGACTGGAAGCTGATTTTCACTGAAGCTGAACATTCAACTTTGCCATCACTGAAATAAATGACATTTTTGTTATGATTTTTATATACATATATTTTATATAAATATATTCTGTTTTTAATACATTTTAATATATAATTCTTTTGTAATTTATTATTAGCATCACCTTTTTCATCTTTGGTCACCCATAAAATGAAAGTCTGCTACAAAAATTGGTTGCATTTGCATGAAAAGAGAGCAAACATCTCAAGAATGTCGAGCTTAAGGTGACACTATTGAAACAGTCTGTTGTTTATTTGGCTTCAGTATGGAAAGATTTCCTTAAAGAGGAAGTGAAAATATGCACAGCCCCAGCCACGTCTTCAACACATTAAGAGCTAGAGGGGAGAGAAAAAGCAAAATAGAAAAGAAAAAACCCTTTGTAAGTCAAAGGCCCTCCATTCTTGTCTTGTGATGTCTGTCTTCATGCTTCACTTGTAATACAAAGAAGCAAGTTGTTTGCCACAGCCCCAGATGAATGGCAGCAAGAGGACAAGAGTCAATGATAACCCCTGTGCCAGCTGTAGAACATGACATATACTCTATAAATACACAACAATTTATGATGCATGCTTTCAGCAAAGCATCTTCTGACCAAAATCTCTATGGAGAATTTATGAGCTTATTCTTATCACTTTGCAAGGCCACAGTAGGTTTTGGGATTGGTTTCCATTAAAGTTGTTGACATACGACTAACAATGTGGTCATACTACACTCTAAAAAATGCTGGGTTGTTTCAACCCAACTTTGGGTCAAATATGGACTAACCCAACTTTTGGGTTAAAAATTTAATGTAAAAAATTAACCCAACGGTTGGGTTAGTCCATATTTGACCCAAAGTTGGGTTGAAACAACCCAGCATTTTTTAGAGTGTAGACAGTAAGCATGCAAAATTATGACCAATTTTGGCAAAAGGATAACTGTCCTGCAACATTGCAATCATGCAGATTGGAAGTTTACTTGAGCCAAGAGGTCAATCCCACATAGCGTGATGCATCTTAAGTAATGAAGTAGTATGAAACGCTTCATTTCAACCATATTTAAGGAAACTGGTCAAAAGGAATTAAATGTCATTGTTTGTTTCTTGGCCCTCCCTTTCTTCTTTTCTATCCCAAGACCTGGAAATCTGTGGCATTGACTCTCATCATGTGTCCTTCCTGTATCAATCTCTGATCTTGAAGTCTGGTTAAGGGGGAGTGAGAGAAAAGAGAGAGAGAGAAGGAGAGGAGAACAGCGATAACACCAAGACAGGATGCTCTCTGTGCAATCCGATAGCCTCGCCAAAAACATCCTGACCTCAGCCCCCCTCCTCCTTTCCTTTTTATCTTTGCTTATGATTAGAAACTCTGTGTCTCTGAGCATTGCAAGTAGAAAATAGTGCAAAAAAGGTTGTGTAGAAAAGGAAAATTCTGTCATTATAGACTCATGATATTATCTGTGGATAAGACAAAAAAATATATAATGGCAGTTACTAGTCACTTATTGTGCCAATCTCTCCCCTAAAAAAGAAATAAAACAAAATAAAATAAAATAATTAAAACAATAGATTTGTGTGGGGAAAGACTAAAATATAAGCCATTATCTTATATTATTTCCTTTCCCTCAGCCAGGACTCTCAAATCAAATATATTTTAAACATTAATGAGATCAAATATCACATGTTCTCAGATGGACTACTTTTATGGTACATTTTATGCTTTTTGTTCTTTTTAGAGCTTGACATATATGAATTGTCATTGTAGGGAAAGAGCTGCATAAAGTCTCTTGAAAAATGTGTGTTCAGTATATATAAAAAAAAAAAAATTAAGTTGAATTCAGTAAATAATGACAAAAATGTCCTTTCTAGATGAATTATTCCTTTAAGCAAACGTAAACTCACCAATACAACTTTTATTTTTCATATACACAAACCTTTGAAATTTGTACATGTTTATGTTATTTTAAACTCAGAAGCAAATTCAATATGATGCCTCGTTAACCTCAAAACTTGTTGGTTTTTCAAAATAAATAGAAACAGAGAACAGAGAAGTTTCTGGTTTGAGAAGTACCTTGACTCATTCTTTCAGCGTTTGGCATGAGTGCCCACATGCATGTGAGCCTCTGGTTTCCTCAAGGGGGAGAACTTACTCAACCCACAAGTACTGGATGACTAATGTCACTGTGCCCCCTCTGTCTGCTCCGGCTGACACGCCCATTACTTTCCTCACCCGCTTTTTTCTCTCTTTCTCCTCGGGCCCTCACACTATCTTCAATAATTGATCAACCCACCCAAGGTCCAGACAGCAGCCATTAACTGCAGCAGTATGGTCTCACTCAGTCATATCAACTGTTAGCCAAGTCCTTTTCCCAAAATCACATATTTTTTTTCTTCTCCAGACCAGACTGAGGAACTACGAATGTCTGTTTCTGTGACAAAGTGTCATCCTGTGAAAGGATGTGAGGACTCTGGTTGACTGTTCAGAGAGTCACGTTACGATACAGAAGACAGAGAAAAACCTCAAACTAGTCTAGGTTACTTTCTGTCAAACTGCTTTCCAGGTTTTCTACTTTCCATAAGAGGACAAATGTAAATGCCAAACCTAAAGAACATTTATTGATCTTGCAGTAAAACAAGCGTCTATGTAACTGGCACCAATACGATCAATACAACTACAGTATCTGCTATGCATAATATCTGCCTGTTTTTGTGTGTTCCTGACTTGATTCTGTTTCACGGCCAGAGAAACTTAGATACAGATGTTTTTCTAATAGTTCAAATGTGAATGCATTAACAGATTTTTTTAAAGCCAAATTAATACAATTATTATTTTTTTATCTTAGTGTCTAAACTAGTCAAAGCTGAGGTTTTGGGCAATTGGCTGCTGGTTAGGAAGCTTAGGAAGATTGGGAGACCTGCAAGACCAGCTTAAAACAGCTAAAACCTGGTATTTTTCAGCAGGGATGAATAATAAAAAGATTCTCTCATTAAAGACAATTCATTTTATTATGAAGTGATGAACAGGATCTCAGCGATCTGAGAGCCAAGTTGAAGAGGAAAACTACTAGCTAAGGCAGGAAGGCCCCTCGAGGGCCATCTTCTACCTCTGTGTTGACTCCACCTAAAGCCCTGAAGCATGTGGCATCATTCCACCATTGCCATCTCTGCGTGTTTGTGTTCTCCACCCACCCTGCCCCTGCTAAAGTAATATTCCACAGCCATAAGCTAGAGGTGGCGGCATGCGAGCACGCCAACAATTAGCGTGCACACACCACCTACTTGGTCTATTTTCGTTTGAAATAACCCATCAAACTTCTGTGAAGGAAGTTGTCTAGAGGTGGTTTTTGGCTCCTTCTGGTCAGTGTGACTCACCTGTCTGTTGCGTTCATCCATAATCCGTGTGATCTGAATCTTTTTCCTCCCCATTGTCCCCGTCTTTTCGTTTCTCTCTTTCTCTAATGAACTTATTCTTTTGTCCCTCTGTTTTTGCTTGCTTTTTCTTCAAACCAGGCTTTCTTCTCTCGACTTCCTCCGCTCAATTCAAAGATTCCAGTAGCTGTACCTGCAAAAGGCAGAGAGAGAAAGGCATTAAGTCAGATGAAAAATGGCAAAACCGTAGCGTTAAAAAACAGGGAAAGGCAGAGTCTGAGCCACATGGGACAGCAAATAAAGACAAAAGAATCTGCAGACGATCCGAGGCAGCGCTGTTTTCTGCCATCAATATCATGCAAATCAGATTCTCGCGCTTTGGCTGCGACTATGAGGGTAGACAGCACTGTCATGCTCTCTCTACAGTCACAGAGAATTTGACAGTGTTTTGGAAGTGCCACTAACTTAACAGTTCTAATCATTTGCAGTGTAACGTTTACTGTCGCCCGAACGACAAGCAGCGCCACTTTCCTAAACAACACTGGTGTAACATTGCACAGAATTGTCACGAGCACGCCGAACGAACACATTGGAATTGCCCTTTTAGCTGAACATTTGTGTGAATGCAACAAAACTGTGACTGATGATGAGATGAGGCTTTACCATCCATAAGAGCTGAAGAAGAACCTGAATGGAAACGTGGGCCATCCTAATTTAACCCGCTCTAGAATATGATCCCGTTGTCACGTCGCGGCTTTGCTCGGCTCTCCGTCTCTCCGTCTCTCAGGGAAAAAGGTGTGCGGGGCCTTTATCGGGCCCTCCTGCTGAGCTCTTTCTGCTTTTGAAAGGCTGCCCTCACCCGAGAAGCTAACCCAGGCTTTCTATAAAGTGCTCACAGCTCAGATCCACACAGCGCGATCACAGAACACACGTGTGTGCGCGCTGGTGTTTGTGTGCATGTGCGCACCTCTTTGGTGCCGTAAAGTAGGCCAACCCGATTCATCTCTGGGAGGAGCGGCAGAACTGTTGTTGTGTTTTATTCTGACAGTAGAGGTGATAACGTCCCTCGTTATGCAAATGAGCGTCCCATTATTTAAGCTCGCTGTAATGCAGTAAAGCTGTCAGTGGTGTCACGTTAAAAGCCCTCCATTGCTTTCTCTTTATTCTCCAGCTCTTTTTCTTCTTTCTGAACCAGATTTCACCTGCCAGAGTGAGCGAGGAACATTGATGTAGATACACCTAAAGGATACGCTGCGCTTCTCACGTCTATCCGCACTGCCATGCTGCTCTCATTTATTAATAATCAAGTGCTTATGGGTGGAGTAGGGGTTTTAAAGCTTTCCAGAGACTTTTTCATGTCATTTGAGTTAAACCGCAAGCAAACTCTAATTTCATTGGCTCAGATCCATCTTCATTTCATACAGTGTGGCTAATTTACCAAATTCCGCACTGAGTTGTTGGATTCCCTCAGTGTCATTGAAATAGAGTTGTTAAATACATAGTTTCGCCGCTACAAATACAACCTTGTGCTGATATGGATATAATTTATTTTCCATTGTCTCTAATAATAGCTGTGAATAAGTTACACTCTATTAGCATACAAACAACAGCGCTCTGTACTTCATCCAGAGCTGTTAGCTGGACCGTTAGCGAGGACGTCTTAACGTGTAAGTGGCGAAATCCGAAGTGGCTTGATGATTGTTTAGAGGACCACTGTAAAAGACATAAAACAAGGAGCAAAACAACTCAACTAAAAGCTGGTGATAATGACTGGACGCCCGTGTAAATATTTACTCATCGTGCAGCCAGCAGACTTGGCGTCACAGAGTGCGGTTTCTCTGCTCACATTTGAAAGCTGATTAAGTAGTTAACTTAATCAAAACAGGGTCTATGGCTGTGACTCAAAGAGCAGCTTTCTCATTGATAACGACAGGTCTGTAATCCCCATTCAACCATGCCAGAGTCTCAATGTGGACTTTACGTAATTTTAAAAGCCTTTTAATGGGCTTCATCTGGACACTGACTCGCGTTTACAGTGGCACCAACAACTGAAATGAATGAAAGTATGAATGTTATCGCATTAGATAACAAATTATTAAACCTGTAGACATGTAAAGAAAACCTGCTTTAACTTTATAAAATATTTATTTATTTATTTATTTACTTACTTATTCATTAAATGACCTCACATTACTTGTGGACATGTAGATAGATGTCCCAACACCTACAGTACCAGGATGATGAAGATGAAACGAGTGGACATTTCAGCAAGACAATGATCCCAAACACAGTCAAGGAAACTCTCAGTTGGTTTCAGTGAAAGAAAATAAAGCTGCTAGAATGGCCCAGCCAATCACCTGACTTGAATCCAATAGAAAATAAGAACTAAAGATCAGAGTTCATAGAAGAGGCCCACAGAACTTTCGAGATTTGAAGACTGTTTGTGTGGAAGAATGGGCCAAAATCACACCTGAGCAATGCATGCGACTAGTTTCTCCATACAGGAGACGTCTTGAAGCTGTCATTACCAACAAAGGCTTTTGTACAAGGTATTAAATAAATTTCAGTAGTTCAATACTTTTTCTCTGTGTCATTCCATTTTATTACACATAACTTAATTTCTGAAATTATGTGTTTTGTTTATTTGTATGTATGGATTACTTGGGTTATTACCGAAATCTGGTGAAAATTTCATGTCAACAGCACCTTTTGAAATATATTTACTGAGAAAATTGGTTACGTGTTCAATACTTATTTTACCCGCTGTAGATAGATAGATAGATAGATAGATAGATTGGTTTAATTGTCTATATTTAAGTATTAAATATTTAATACTTAAATAGTATTTAAGTACAAATAACATGTTTTTATTAAATAGATAGATAGATAGATTGGTTTAATTGTCTATATTTAAGTATTAAATATTTAATACTTAAATAGTATTTAAGTACAAATAACATGTTTTTATTAAATAAAATATCCATCCAAACTATCTATCTATCTATCTATCTATCTATCTTTTTAATCTAAAGCATATAAAGATATCCATTCATTTTATGTGTGACTTAAGCGTTCAAATATTTTTTTTGGTGGTACTATACAGTATATGGGATGATTTGAGGCACCAGGTATCCTTCCCCCACCCGTAAGTACTCGGGCAACCTGATTCATCCTCAGCACAGCCTCTATTGGCGCTTTTCCACTGCGTGGTACGATTCAGCTTGGCACGGTTCAGTACGGCACGGCTCGGATCGGTTTGCGTTTCCACTGCTGTTTAGTACCGCTTTAGAGTGGGCGGAAAACTTTTTCATTCCGCGTCGCCCCATCAAGCTCTCGCTGGATCCACTCCTCTGCTATCAACGAGAGGAACGTTTGTACTTCCTCAACAGACAACGAAATAGCCATTTTTTGGTTGCTAAAAAAGGTGCGCTCGTTCAAAACAGTTGCGTTCGATCCTTCGCTGGCTGTGCTGATTTAAGTCTGTTGTGTCTCGTGTGGCAAGTTCAGTGATGCAGGTAGTGACGATTCTCTCTGGCCAATCAGTGATCAGGAGAGTTTACACGTCATGTTTTGGTAACGGTAAGGTTCACTTGGAACCTCAACCGAGGTGGTACTGAAAAAAGTACCAGGTACCAGGTACTGTACCCAGTGGAAAACCCCCCAAAGTGAACCGTACCGAACCGTACCGTGCCGTACCATGCAGTGGAAAAGTGCCATAACTCTCCCTTCACCCTGGCCACCCCCCCTCCCCCATCTCTCTCATTCCATCATCCCCTCCTTCACATGTACACATGCTCACACTCATCTGCTTTCAGATTACCACAGATGAGCACAATCCAATTTACACCAGTAAAGCCGAACTACAGCAGACAAGTTGTGGTTGATCAGCAGCCAGAGGCACTTTAGACATAAAAACGGTCCCGTCGCCGCCACACAAGCACTCATATACAATTTATGGCTGAATATGTCTGTTCTTGATTCACAAGTGTGACTGACCCCTGCCGAAATCAAGGGAACAAAGACTATGTGTGCGTTTGAGATCAAATATATGTGTGTGAGAGGGTTTTAGTGTTTAGTATGTGAAATTATGCCAGAGAGAGAGAAAGAGTAAGGCGGAGAGGTACTACTAACAGGCTTTCTCTGCCATGATAAGCCAATTCACTAATCCATAGCCAAAGCATATGGGGAGGGTGAGAACGAGAGAGCGAGAGACGAGGGCCAGAAAGATCCCTCCCCCCAAAGTGAACCTCAGGACAGACTTGGCTTAGTCTGACAGACAGAAGAAAGCCTGGAAGAGGGGTCACCACCAAAGGGCTGAAGGGTCACAGAGGGATGCTACAGGACAGAGAGGTAAAGATAAGACAAGTTAACCCACAACCTTTCTCATTTGATATATTGGGCTCAAAGCAAGAGTACAAAGAGCAAATCCAAGTGAAAAGAGAAAACCAAAGGAGAATGAGAGAGATGTGAGCAGGTCTCTCTTGAGGAAAAGGAGGAGAAGCTGCCGTCCATCTGTTAACCATGCCTCTCTTCCTCTGCCACAGAGCACAAGGGCGGTGGGGGAACGAGGAGAAATCGTGGGGGAAAAGGAGAGAGAGGTGGGGGCGCCGACACTGGGATGTAATGAGGTGCTGTGTGTTTTTCTCTCTTTCGTTCTGTCTCTCTCTGCCTTTAAGAAATGGAACTATGAGGGCAATGAGTATGTTCATAAACAGGCACGATTCTGGGTTGGCTCGGTCCCTAGTGTTCCATCGGAAAAGAAAAAAAATATTTCACAAGCGCACGATTGTATTGTCAAAATCCTAATAAAGTGAATATGACTTCTCTGTGCTCAGCGATATAATTTTGTTAGAGGAAAAAAAGAAACAAAGCAATTTTTTATTTCTCTAAGGGGTCTCGTGTTGAGAATGAAAAATGATTAAGATGCAAATACCATGAATTATATTTGTAAAAAAGTACAGAGACTATATCTGATAATGAAACACTTGTTTTGATGAGATACACAACTCTGGCAGGTTTCACTTTTATTGAGATCTGGCGCAATCTGTGTGGAACACTGCAGCGGTGCTTGACTCCCGCCACATTAAAGTAATCTGTACATTATTATTACAATCAGACAGGAGCTGATCTTTTGAGAAATTGACCTCAGCACAATGTTGCCACCCTTTGTAAACTCTCTGGCTTCCACTTTCC